AAGAAAGAAAAAATGTAGGGTCAATTCCACAAGTGTCAGCAAAATGTAGGGTTACCTCCACGTAAAAAAAAAAAATGTAGGGTCGATTCCACAAGTGTCAGTAAAATGTAGGGTCAATAGCAGCAGAAAAGTTGCTAAACAATTAGAATTAAATGTACCGATAGAAATTATTGCAATAATGCGTAATGCAATTGAAAAATTGAAAGAATCAAAAGAAAAAACGCGAATTCATATCTTTCTCGATTCTAGAATATAAGAAAATTTGAAAAAAATACGCGACGAGAATTGGGGAGAAGCATAAGTTAAACGCGTAAAAATATTCAATAATAAACTGAACTAGAGATGAAGCTATTATTTCAATACGCGATGCACTGACTCTAGTATTTACTAAAATTCAAAAATTCTCGTATAAATCCCGAAAGTAGATTATTAATTACGGTAAACTACTGAGACGGTTTAATTAAGGGTGGGCATGGTGCTGCTTTAGTTTGAAATGATTTATAAACACATAATTAACAGAGGAAAAACCGTGAAACGGCAAAACGTCTACATTCTAATTGTTATAACATGTAAACAGAACTTTAAATTTAGTGTAAACAGAAAAAATATATAATACAATTTATTTCACGGTATTGCAACAAATAAACGTTGAATCAATATTTAATTCGTATAAAAACAATTATTTAACGTAATAATTTTACCTTCACTATGGCTATTTTTAATCTACGACCACAGGTCAACCTGATTTCTAATCCTTACGAACTTTAAATTCAGTCTAAACTGAGAAAATATATAATACAATTTATTTCACGGTATTGCAACAAACAAACGTTGAATAGATTCTTAATTCGTATAGAAACATTTATTTAAAATAATAATTTCACCTTCACTATGGCTATTTTAAATTTACGACCAAGGGTCAACCTGATTTTTAATCCTCCGAACTTGATTTCACAACGAGAAAGTAATAAGATCGTTGAAACGTACTTATTTGTCAAAGAAACTTGCAAAAATGTATAAATAATAATATGTAATGTTTTAACAAATTTTTGGAAGTATAAATTAATAATAAAATTGTGAAAATTAATAAATTATACGTTATTATAACATTAATAGAATTATGACTAAACCGAAGTTCGAAGTCGAGTATTTAAAGTCTGATATTACGTGCCTAGCGAGTGCCGGTAATTGTTAAAATTTGTTTAATAATTAGTAATAGAAATTCTAATTGATTCTAATGTATACAAGTGTTACAAGAAGGCTGAGTGTGTACAGGGTGGACATAGACTAGCTAGTAGCCCCCGACCACTCTATTCACATCTCAGAACCTTCAGGTCAAAATACGCCGCGAAGTGTCTAGGGCCCAGTATAAAGGGTAAATGATTTCGCGGGACATCGGCGGGTCCTTATATACCTGCGGTACCCTCTCCCCAAAGTCATTAGCAAAATCGTCGGTTAGGTCAGGCGGGAAATTTTCGCGGGAGATTTTCGCGGGAGATTTCCGATATCGTAACACGGTATAATTTATCAATTTTCACAATTTTATTAAAAATTTATACTTCCGACAATTTGTTATAACATTGCATATAACAATTTATACGTTTTTACAATATTCTTCAATGGAAACATAGGTTTTAGCGTTCTCGTTACTTACTCGTGGTTAAATTAATTTCGTAGGGATTAAAAATCAGGTTGACCTGTGGTCGTAGATTAAAAATAACCATAGTACAGCTAAATTTATCGTGTTAAATAATTCTTCTTACACGAATGAAAAATGTATTCAACGTTTGCTTGTTACAATACCATGAAATAAAT